AAACTTATGTTCTTCAACTAAGCAGATGAAACTTAAACTAAGCAGATATGAAATTATGGCAAATGATTTATTTTAACCTTATTAATTAAAATAGAATAATTTTACATACTTTTTTAGTAAATATTCTAGCCTACTAGACTGATTACTCAAAAGTCTTATCCAGGCCTACTGAGTGTGGTTTTTTGACCTTATTTCAGCTACATTTTTTTCCTCCAAAACCACACACACACACACACACACACACACACACACACACACACACACACACACACACACACACACACACACACACACACACACACACACACACACACACACACACAAACACATATATATATATATATATAGATCCATCCAGCAGAATGCAAAAAATAAAAAATAAAAAGATTGGTCAATACTTTGTAATAAGTATCTGAAATAAGCACAAATGTCAGGACATATCAGAAGGTCTTAGGGACCCCAAAATCACCTCAGACCCCAGAGAGTTAACAGTGTTTTCAAATATGCTACAATTTTATAATTTTGTATGATGAATTTGTGACAATGATGTTTATGTGACATTATGCAAGCATTATAAAACATTAAAAATAACATTAGGACTTATTTTATATTCATAAGACATACAGTATGGCAGTATTTTAATGTCTTCCATATTTCTCTCTTGAAACACTCTACAGTATGATTTTAAAGCCAATACATAAGTCAGTGTGGTTATTATAGTGCTGTTTAATAAGTGATGGGCTGGTGTTGGTTTGCACTGTTTTGGATTGTCCTCACAGGACATTTGATCGGACACAACATGGCAAAGCTCTCAGCTACAAGAGCATTTCCTGACCGGCACTAAAACATTTAGAAGGTGGAAACACTTCCTATTCAATCTATATTGCTTAAACTACAGTTTAAGACCAATCATAATAAACATATATATATATATATATATATATATATATATATATATATATATATATATATATATATATATATATATATATATATAAAATTCTAAAAGATAGTTACATGTAAAATAAATAGAAAAATATTTGGGGTATATGTGGGGTGTCAAATAAACAAATAAAAAAATAAATGACCATAAAATATTGATATGACAAGTGATATAAGAATATCAAATGTCTACAATAGTATTAATTAAAAAGAAACTCCCTCTCCTAAAAGCTCAAACTCCCCTCTCACCTTGCAAACTGGAGGGAGCACCAGGCTTCGAGTATCTTATAAGCTCAGGGTTTTCTCCTGGAACAGCAAGCCAAATAAGCTTTATAATCAATCATCAGCTAAGTGTAAACTCTTAAAATAATACTATTAGGAGCCAATCACACCGAACGCGCAGAAACACGGGGCACAGCAGTCAGTCAGAAAAAAGAGGCCTAACAAAGGAAAACTTTTATTAGCTATTTTTCCATACTTGACAGGTAACCATTTCAGTTGAGCATCTCCAGAAAATCTTATATTAGAGTTTAACATGCAATTTAATTGTATGTGTGTCTCAATGATATTGTTTAACAATAGGCATGGACTGGTATAAGATTCCAATGGTATAATATACTTGGATACAAAGTTCATGGATTCACAGTATTGTGATTACTGCTCTAAAATATATTGTTTTTATATGTCTGGGTAAAAATTATTACATATTTTTCTCTTTGAAAACAATATACTTAATTTTTTTAAAGAAATATTTTGGAGCAGTAAACATGTCAGACTAAATAATGAAAATGAATCATAGACTTTTGCTGTCTTCATTAGTTTAAAAAAACACTGATTTCTTTATGATTTAAAACAGCATCTTTAGATATCATTTCTGCTGGAGATGCTGTTGACCAAAAAAAATAAAAATAAATAAATAAATGTTAATAAAAAAATCTTACTCATACCTTTGATTCATTATATGACTTTTTTTTTTATCACAACATGTTTTTGTTTTGTCTGTGTAAATGTCTGTGTTTTTCAAGATACATTTCTGGACATTTTTTTTTTTTACTGTAAATTTTACACATTAATTTTTTTTTTACAGATTCATAAACAACTTACACCATATTTAACTATCAGATCGTCTACATATTCAAGTTGCCCAAAGAGTTTAACGGATTACATACAAATGGCGTGGATCTCTCCCGCACAACTCATTGTCTTGTGAAACATAATCTTATTAGCAATAAAATAAAACAAACAAATAAAACAGCAATAAAACAATCTCGTTCTCATTCAACTTTAATGTTATCCTCTCTTCTGTGGCACCAACAAGCTGTCTCCGTCTCCGGGACAATCGGGTTAAATGCTTTAAGTCCTTAACCAGTGCCAACCAGGGGTCATATATGTCCTTGAGTGTACAGTTTGTGGTGTTGGCCTTACAAAAGGGTGCCTCATCATGTTAAGCCCCCGGAAGAAACAGGACACCTTACTTGGAGTGTCCCAATAACATCTGAAACCTGGAGACTCACATAACACAAGTCACCTTTCTCTTGCGCTCTGCCTATGAGCACATGCTTGACTTTGTATAACAAGGGATTCCTAATGCGGAATAAATGACAACTGTATGTATTATTTTGGTCTCTGTCTGAATAGTCTTACCCCCTACAACATTTAATTGTTCATTTATGGTGTAAGTCTTAACATGCAAAATTACTGAACAGGTTGTCATCATATTTAGTCATAATGGATTTTTCTAGACATTTCCATCCAACCTTTTGTTCTAAATCTGTAAACAATTGGTAAATTTCTCTCAGGTGATTTTTGACGTTTTCTAATTAAGATGCATTTCAAATGTGATTGTCCTATGTTCACATTTCTACTTTTGTTTTCTTTTTTCTTTGTGCTATGCAGTACTGTCTTTTCCTTTTTGTGTCACAATGACATGGTCTGTCAACAAATTACAGTACAAAGTCATACAATTAGCCATAGTTTACATCAGAACACCTCTCCAGAGTACTCTGTTATATTGACAACATGACTAAGTATTTGACTTACGCGTACACCATGACTCAAGGACTTGTCATTCTGATGGCACTGACACCTTCATCGACTCAGAAATGTAATTTTGAGAGATGAACTAAAAATTTTGAGCAAGAGACTGGCCTCTGCAGGTAATCAATGGTGTTTTGCCATTTGTATGTGTTGTTTCGAGAAATGAACTTACTGTTTTACAAACTTTAACTCTGAGAAATGTACCAAAGAGACTGAAAAAAACTGTTATTGCATCAAATTAATTCATACCTGAAATTACTGTAAAAAAATATAAAAAGATGAATCTTGTGTGACTGTATACTGTAAAAATGCAGAGTTTCACACATTTCATTAATGTTGTCCCAACACAAGGTTAACTTAATAAATTTAGGTGGATTAAAGATAAAATAATTAAGTTGTGGACAAAAAAATCCCAAGAATTATCTTATTTATTCATTCATTCATTCATTCATTCATTTTCTTGTCAGCTTAGTCCCTTTATTATTCCGGGGTCGCCACAGCCAACTTATCCAGCAAGTTTTTACGCAGCGGATGCCCTTCCAGCAGCAACCCATCTCTGGGAAACATCGACACACACACTCCACAGCACTATGTCCTGCGCCACTGCTTCGCCCAGAATTATGTTATGTATAAGTAATTCAAACAAGCAGCAAAAAAAAAAAAAAACGGGCAAGGTCCAACAGATATTTTGATTAATTTGTTACAAATGCAGTTGGGTTACTTAAGCTTTAAGTTGTACGTTGATTTTAATTTTTTTTTTACTTGATTATGATTCATTTTATTCATTGTTCGAGTGTGACCTGCTGCTGTTAACTGTCGGTTATTGCTGTATTGCCCTTTGGGGAAATTAAAGACATTCCAAGTTCCAAAATATATGTTTACATTAAAAGTAACAAATATGTATGAAAGACAAATACAAAGAAATCAAAACAAAACCAAAAATTCCAGACATATGTAATATACAGTTGAAGTCAGAATTATTATCCCCCTTTTGATTTTTTTTTCTTTTTTAAATATTTCCCAAATTATGTTTAACAAAGAAAAGAAATTCACAGTATGTATGATAATATTTTTTTCTTTTGGAGAAAGTCTTATTTGTTTTACTTTGACTAGACTTTTGACTTTAGACTTTTGACTAGACTAGACTAAGCAGTTTTTATTAAAAAAAAAAAAAAAAAAAAAAAACATTTTAGGTCAATATTATTAGCCCCTTTAACCTATATATATTTTTTTGGATAGCTTAAATGTCAATTTAAGCTAAATACGAGTATCCTGAAAAATATCTAGTGAAATATTCTGAGCCGTCATCATGGCAAAGATAAAATAAAACAGTTATTAGAAATGAGTTATTAAAGCTATTATGTTTAGAAATGTGTTGAAAAAAATCTTCTCTCCACTAAACAGAAATTGGAGGAAAATATACAGGGGGGCTATATATATAAATATATATATATATATATATATATATATATATATATATATATATATATATACACACACACACACACACACACACACACACACACACACACACACACACACACACACACACAAAGTTACACACAAAGCAAATAAATCCGTGTAAATCTGGGAAAAATTATATAAGATTGATCGAAACTTCCTTAATTATGCATTAGAACTCTTAGTGGCTATTAAATGCCCTCTACCAGTACAAATGCTTTCTCAAAATGACTCTTTCTTAAAGTTACAGTACACCAAAAATGTATATTATGTCATCATTTACTCACTCTCCTGTATGAGTTTGTTTCTACTGCTTAACACACACAAAAAAGGGATATTTTGAAGAATGTTGCAAAATGCTTTCCAACATTCTTTAAAATATCTACTTTTCTGTTCAAAATGTTTAGAACCACTCAATGATGATTGAATAATTTGCAATCAGAACATTTACGAGTGAACTGTCGCTTTAATGGATTTGCTATGTCATTTTTGTTGGAATTAGACTGGTGCAAACAATCTGCCATGCATATGTATGAGGTATGATTTTCACAGTCACTTACCTTTTGCTCATGATGCAGAGCTGCGCCAGTCTCTCAAGATCCTGGGCCTGTGAAGCCTGTTCTGATAGCTCCTCTTGAGACAGACATCCTGACGACCCCAATGTCCCGTCTTCCTGAGACCCTGATTCACACAAAGACTGTCAGAAATCACACAGATGATGCCAATAGCATTCACAGAGAATCACACGTACACTGACAAGTAGACTGTGACAAGACTGAAAAAGACAGCGAGGAGGGAGGAAAGGAAGGAGGGAGGGAGGAGAGAAGAGGGATCTCTGCCACCACACCCACACATTCAAATGCTATTACAAATAAAACAAACATATGAAAAACAGAAGCTTAGCAGGACCAGCTGGAATGATTCGTTGAGCATTTCAGGAAGGCAATTCCAAGAAAACTACATATGATTTATAAATATGACCCTTAGTGTTTCTGAAATGCAGTGAATTTTTTTTTATTGATTTAGTACAATTTTCACAAGCTGTTGGTACATTTTCAAAACTCTTAGCATACTTAAATTGCAACAGATTACCAAAAGTGCACTGTTTTTCAAACATTTCAGCATGTTTTCAATTGTGTTAGTATGACACACATAATCCCAAAATGAGATTTTTTTCCTACACAAAAAAAGTGTTATGGATCATCTACATAAATGTCTTACATAAAGTTATTATTATCATATCATGTCATTCAGTTTAATACATCTGATAACACTTTATTTGAAGTCATTAAATCTTTATAATCATGACATAGCATGTCATGAATGTGAATGAGAAAACTGTCATTAAGTGGCATATGCTCAGTTATGACATCTTAAATGCAAAGATCACATTGTTTGTTATGACAAGTTGACATAAATACATCACAACCTGTTTTGTCTTTGTCAAGACAACAAAACTTGTCAGAAATATGTCATAAACATGATTATGTTCATAGATTGTCAACTTTTCTGATTGCGGTCTCATAAATTACAAATTAATACAAGATTAGCATTCTCAGCATTACATTTCTGGACAGAATCTGGCCAAGCAAATGCCTCTCAGTTCTACAAAAACACAGTAGCCCTACATATACTGGAAGAACAATTACAGTAATACTGTAATCAACAACACATAGGTTTTGACAGTTATGATTTTAAGCATTTAGGCTACAGCAGGGGTACCCAAACTTGGTCCTGGAGGGTCGGCGTCCTGCATAGTTTACAGTGTTTCCCCTCCCAACGGCTTTCCCGCTAAATAGCCATTTGCAATACAAATTTAATCTATGCCACCTTATAATACATTTGGGAGCATTTGTGCGACTGCATATAATGGTTGTAGTGCGACCTGTTTTAGTTTTTTTCTTAAAATGTGCTGAATTGCTCTTCCCTGCCGTTATATTGCTTCTGTCAATCACTCGAGGCTTTACACTGTTAGATAATAGGGCTTTTATGACGGGTAACACAAACAACGCAATTAAAAGTACACATGTTTACAAACCCACTCAAAGTTACAAATAAAGGCTTTGATGAGAGCGATCGTGGTGAATGTTGATCCACCAGCCGAGATCAACCAGAGTGTTTTCGGAGAGAGTGCAGAAAGACTTTGGGTGGATCAGCTGTTTTAATAGACTAAATTTCGATGTGTTGCATTCACTGCGTGTTCAGCGCAAATAGCCGTAAATGTAAAATCTAACACTATACATTATCGCCAAAGAAGCTCGCCTTCAAGTTTAAAGTGAAACCTCAGCTCATGACAAAGAACGGTACTGCGCATGAGGTCATCACGAGAATCCTGCTTTGCCTGCTTATATATTAGGTCAGCTGACTCGCCTGTTTTTTTCCACAAACATAGAAAGTTTTAATAGAGAACATAACGAAACTGCACATTTAAAATGACACAAACTGAAAGCAAAACTTATAAAGAGTGGTAGAAGTGAGATTCCTTTTGTTTGTCTGTTCTTCCTTGACATAAATACTATTTTTCTATTTAGTTACTGATGACTGCTTTGCATCTTTCAGCATTGAATTGAATGATTTATTAAAATCTTACGTTTATGTTTTGTAGCAGAAATATTACTTGTTTATTTAATTAACATGCATATAAAAACAATTGTGCAAAAAGGCCATTTCTTATTGCAATGCTTCATTTTTGTTTAATGCAAACCATAGATTTATTTTTCATAATGTAATAGTAGGACTTTATTTAAGCACATTCAAGCACATTCAAGGAAGCTTGATAATGACAAATTTTATTCATTGTTAATATTATTGACATCATCGTTGATTGAAATTATTGTTTTACAGCTAATCTGAATGGATTCAAAAACATTACTTTTTTTTTTTTTTTTACACAAATGTTCTAACTATTTAACTTAATTTAAAATAAATAAATTAATTTAAAATAAACATATTTCCCTCCAAAAGTGGAGTGTTCCTTTAAAAGGCCTGTGAAGGCACTTTGAAATGTGCAGTTTTTATTGGATGTTTGATGTAATCTCAACTGAAAAATGAAGAGATGGTGAGAGAGAGAGTAGCTCCTTTCCTTTAAAAACAGCCAATAGCGTTTAGTTTTTCATATATCTCAGTCAGTGAGAGTGCTTGAGATCAAGTGCATCAAATGAAGGCAAATAAAAAGTGACTTAAAAAAAAGGGGGGGGGGGGGGGGCATACAAGCTAGAGAACATTTGAATGGTCAAGATTTGATGAAAAACTGAAGTATGAGGTGACATGAAAAAAATAAAATCGTTGATCCATTTAGGCGAACATGACAAACTGGATGTTTATATCAGTTTTATATATTCTAAATTTTGTCACTGTTTTGGAGCAAACTAGATTATATATACACCCTTAATGCTAACAGACTTTATTTTAATTTTACTGGCCTTTAAGTAGTTTTGACCCTTAGCATTCAATGTCAGACTTTTGCAGAGCTTTTGAAACCAACTATTTTAATCCAAGAGACATTAATGCACATGTGCGAGATAAGCATAGACTATGCACACTATCCAAACACCCTAGTATACGGAAGTATACTTTGGGCTTAATGCAAGCAACACAAGCAGAAGGCTTATGCTTAAATAAAAAGGGAAATGCGTAAACATTCTATGTATACAAAAGCTTAGGAATGCATTTACAGTTGAAAGACGTTTACATACACGCTAAAAAAAGGCAAGGCAAGGCAAGGCAAGTTTATTTATATAGCACATTTCATACACAATGGCAATTCAAAGTGCTTTACATAAACAAGAATAAAAGAAACAAGTAAAATAAAAATAAAAACAAATAATAAAAATGCGTAAAAACAAAACAAAACATAAAAACAGGTAAAATGTGATATAAAAGAATGAAGAAGAAGAGAAAAACATGATAGTGCAATCTGTCGGACGCAGCACAGTGCTCATTCAGTAAAGGCACAGCTAAACAGATGTGTTTTCAGTCTTGATTTGAATGTGCCTAATGTTGGAGCACATCTGATCATTTCTGGAAGCTGATTCCAGCAGCGGGGGGCATAGTGGCTAAAAGCCGATTCACCCTGCTTTGACTGAACTCTTGGAACTTCTAGTTTATATGATCCTAATGATCTGAGTGATCTGTTAGGTTTGTATTCAGTGAGCATATCTGTGATGTATTTAGGTCCTAGGCCATTTAGTGATTTATAGACCAGTAAAAATACTTTAAAATCTATTCTGAATGTAACTGGCAGCCAGTGTAAAGACCTGAGGACAGGTGTGATGTGCTCTGATTTTCTGGTTCTGGTTAGAATTCTGGCTGCAGAGTTCTGGATGAGCTGCAACTGTCTGACTGTCTTTTTAGGAAGGCCAGTGAGGAGTCCATTACAGTAATCCACCCTGCTGCTGATGAAAGCATGAACAAGTTTCTCTAAGTCTTCACTAGAAACAAAGCATCTGATTCTTGCTACGTTTTTGAGATGATAGTATGCTGATTTACTGACTGCTTTGACATGACTGTTGAAACTCAGATCTGACTCAAGAGTCACACCAAGATTCTTGATCTTATTTTTTGTCGTTTGACCTTTAGTGCCAAGATACGCATTTACCTTGAGAACCTCATCTCTGTTGCCAAACGCAATGACTTCAGTTTTCTCTTTGTTTAACTGAAGAAAGTTTTGGCACATCCAATTGCTCATTTCATCAATGCATTGGCAGAGGGTGTCAATGGGGCTGTAGTCATTAGGCACTAAGGCTAGGTAGATCTGAGTGTCATCAGCATAGCTGTGGTAGGAGATTTGGTTCTTTCTCATTATTTGGCTTAGAGGGAGCATGTAAAGGTTGAACAGGAGAGGTGCCAGAATCGAGCCTTGTGGGACTCCACATGTCATGGGTGTCCACCTCGACCTATGGTCACCTATACTGACATGGTAACCTCTCCCTTCAAGGTAAGATCTAAACCATTTGAGGACCGTGCCAGACAGCCCAACCCAGTTTTCCAGCCTATCCAGAAGTATGTTGTGATCGACAGTGTCAAATGCAGCACTGAGATCCAACAATACCAGCACTGTTATTTTACCTGAATCTGTATTTAGGCGTGTATCATTGATTATCTTTATAAGAGCGCTCTCTGTACTGTGATGTGCTCTGAAACCAGATTGAAAATTGTCTAAACACCCCCCTGAAGTTTAAGAACTTGTTAACCTGGTTAAAAACAACAAAGGAACTTGACCATTTTTTAAAAAAATGTCTGATGGTAAATCATACAAAACATTTACTATTTTAGGTCTGTTAGGATTACCTAAATGACTGACATTTGCTAAATGCCAGGTTAATGAGAGAACTGATTTTAAAGGTTTTATTTATACATTATACATATTTATACATACATATATTCTACATTATGTTCTTTTTTCATGATACCATGTATGCTGTGTAGACCAGTCCCTCCTGCAGCAAAACAGCACCACAACATTATGCTGCTGCCCCCAGACTTCACAGTTGAGATGGTGTTCTTAGGCTTGTAAGCTTTCACCTTTGTCCTCCAAATGTAACACTGGTCATTATGGCCAAACAGTTCAATCTTAGTTCCATCAGATCACAGGACATGTCATTATTTTTTCCCCAGTGTAATTTAGCAAATTGTAATCTAGCAAATTGTAATCAATAGTTCTGTTGATTCTGGCTTGTTGGTTTTTCCTTGTTGTCACACAAGGTAGCAGTGTGTTTGAGGTTTTCCTTACATACTATTCTACAGTTGTGCCTCCAATTAATTTAAATGTTGTCAATTAGCCAATCAGAAACTTCCAAAACCTTGACACCATCATCTGAGCTTTTTCAGAGGCATAATAATCTTATTGTATGTAAACTTGACTTTAAAGAAAAGTTATAACAAATTCTCAAAAATAATCTCTCTCATCATTCTACTATTAAGCATAATAGAAACAAATTTGATAATCCTACCTTACCTAAAAAGGAAAAAGTTTAGTCACAATAACATCTGACTTTTTAAAAAAAAATGTTTATGTGCCTTTTTAAACAGTGTATGTAAACTTCTGGTTTCAGCTATATATATATATATATATATATATATATATATATATATATATATATATATATATTTAAACTCAACTCTACTAAATGGGATCAATATATCTGTTGAATGCTATAGAGATCGTATCACAATATCTACAGAAATATACTGCCGTATCCCAAGTGATGATCGGAAACTGAGAAGGTCTCATGCCAAAGCAAGGAAATAAAACTTGGCCAAAATGCTGAATCAGGTAGCGTTCCCATGATACTTAACAGCTCTTTAATGAGGTAATGTATAGCCTGGTCATATATCTCCCTTGAATTTTGTATTCTCTGCTGCCCAAGCGAGGGCTCTATGCTGTCTCAGCATTGAGCAGACAGTTAGAGGAATGGCAGACGTCCACCGCTGGACCAGATCGATGGGTCTCCTTCATCATAAATTCTGGTGAATCCCAGAGCAAATCAAGATGAAGCTCGGTTAAATATTCTCCTGGTCTCTGACAGGACCTTGGGGACAGGTTTGGTTGCTGGGTCCGTGTTTTGTAACTTGTGCACTTTTACTAGCGGACAACTGTAGATGCAAAAACTATTTGTGATAAACAATATTTTTATTGAATGCAAATGCGCATACCTTCTTTATGAGTAAGCCATTGAATTATTCACTGAATTGATTTGCTTACTCGTAAACTGTAACATTATACCTCTTTTGGATCATTCAACTTTGGAACTTTATTATCTGACAGAGTAGTATTTTTGTGTTGGATATCCAAGTAAGCGACAACTGAACTTAAAGGAATAATTAACCCCATTAATCCCCTGGCAGGAGTATGGGTTAGTTCTAGGATGTATTTATTTATTTTGAAAACTTCAAATAAATGGTTACTACACAAAAAACATTATACAGCATGCAAGAGCCTGGATAAAACTACTTTAACTGTGTTACTCTAAAAGAATAAAGTCATATACACCAAGGATGGTTGGAGGATGAGTAAATTATGGGGTAGTTTTTATTTTTGAGTGAACAATTGCTTTAGCTCTTTGTTTTTTAAGAACATAATATTCTGGTACTTAATACAAAATGTTTATCTACCATTTTTTATTTTTTTTGTTTTATTTTTTGTTTTCTTTGTTATATGACATAGGGTTAATTATGAAGCTATCTCCGGACCCAAAGACAAAAAAAAAAAAAAAAAGCAATAGAAAAATATAAAACAGACGAAAAAAAATTAATTTAAGCAAATATGATCTGAACTTTTTTTGACATTATTTTTGACAAATCTGGACAAAATGGAGAATGTTTCAGGCTTCTAAAACAGTTTGCTAAAGCCAATTTTTCAGAAACATTTGCTGTACCTGGTAAACACCTTCAAACTATGGTCAGTGGTGATTATATAATAGGTTGGTGTGGCTCTGCCTTATTTGACATGGAAATTTTTTTCCAATCCACTTCTTCTGTTCAATGCCTCAGAAGTAGTTTCATCCATAGGGCATAAACACTCTGAGACTATTCGGCATTTTGTCACATAAGATATTTTATTAAATGAATAGTCCCGGTTATTGATTCTGATTCGTTGAACTGCATTTAAAGCTGTTGTAAAATACTGTACAAACATACACGTGACTGTTGATTAACAACAATTTCACTTTCAGTACAGTGCCAAAGAGGTTTTATTTGCTTTAAACTTTATTTATTTATTTATTTGCTTTGTTTTATTTTGCGAATCCTAATACAACTATAATGGTATATGGAATTTATAATTTTTACTCGAAAGCAAATTACAAAAAAAATTACTTTTAGTTCTGTTAGTGTGTTTCAGTCAACAACTTATCAGGCATTGGATAAAATTGAGAGAGAATACAAGAACCAGCATGAGTCAGCCTCAATTATCAGCACTATCACAACCAAAGTGTATTTTAACCTTTGAAAAATATGTTATTTCTTTAAAAGAGCCTTTTGTGAAATGACAAGATTCAATGGATGTTAAAGTTTCTTAATGGAAACAGCGATGTCAATAAAGATGCCTTTATTTCTAAGAATGTGGTTGAGATGACTAGTCAGAATAAAGCATTTTAGAGATTAAATTTTTTTAAACTATCATATACAAGCAATGCGCAATATCACAACCCGAAGACTGTCTGATGTTATCATCTTACTCTATATAATGATTTACAGCTACTGTATATACACAATAAAAATTGCTGTAAAATTTAAAGTATTGCAAGAAATACATATAGAGTTATGTATAGATACATAAGAGTTTGCATGTTCTCTCAGTGTTTGTGTGGGTTTCCTCCGAGTGCTTCAGTTTCCCCTACAATCCAAAGACATGCGCTATTAACCTTATTCTTCAATGCAGAAGAGCACTCGTTTTTGTTATTGTTTTAACTTCATATTCAGCTCCCTATGGGAGAATCGACTTGAAAAAATAAACTGCAGAAAACGGTCAAACTACTTGCTTTACAAACAACTAGCTCTACAAACAAAGCAGAATTATATTGTAAGTAAATGTCAGTTTGCAATATCAAGAAGCATAACAAGCTGTTTTCAACATCTAAAAATTAATGCAAGTGAATAAGACTGGAAGTCTCCAGCCAAAAAGAATCAAATGGCTGCACCCTCTCATATGCAAAGAATAAGGTGAATAGGTAAATTGAATGAACCAAATTGGCAGTAGAGTAAGTGTGTGAATGAGTGTGTATGGGTGTTTCCCAGTACTGGGTTGCACCTGGAAGGGGATCCGCTGTGTAAAACTGCTGGATAAGCTTCACTCCGCGGTGGCGAGCCCTGATAAATAAAGGGACTAAGTCGAAGGAAAATTAGTGAATGAACAGGCAATTTTGGTTGCCATTAATACCGTAAAATTTACAAGTTCACTTAAAACTAACAATTACTATTGTGCTGTAAAACAACAGCACAGTCATAACTGTTCAATTAAACTGTGTTTGTAAATTTGACCAGTAATACAGTTAAATGTACAAGCGCACTGTAGTTTTCAGCACAACTTTAATTGTTAATTTACAGCAAACCTGTAAATTTTACGATATTAATGGAAAAAAATTGTCACTAATACTGTATATTTTAAAGCAATGTTTAACCCTGTAGCTCATAAATGAAATAAGAGATCACTTGTAAATTTTACGTAAGATCTCCTGCTTTACAAACTATTTAGGGATGTACATTAAAAAAAAAAAAAACTTTTAAATTTTACAGTATTACTGGAAATCAAAATTGCCATTTTACATATTTTTTTTTTACACTGTATCTTTTAAATGAAAATAGAGACCACTTTAAAGTTATATAAACATTCACAAAATCAGTCTTAAGTTGCAGGGGTATATTTATATGTACTGTATTTGCTAACAGGCAAAAAATACATTCGTTCAAAATTCTACATTTTTTCTTTTACTCCAAAAATCATAAAAATATTAAGTAAATATCAAGTTGCAATATATTTAGTATGTTTCCAACTGTAAATATATAAAAACATACAGTTTGATTATTAATAGAAAAAATTTAATTTGAACAACTTTAGAGAATTTTTTTAAATAAAAAAAAAATAAAATAAAAAATAAATAGATAACACTCCATATTTTTAAATTCCAGATTTTGCAAATCCATAAACATTGGCCAACATCAACCATCCATCAGTTAAATACTGATTATTCTGCTTTTAGATGATGCACAAGACTCAATTTCCGAAAAAAAAAAAAAAAAAAAAAATTGGACTGGTTATGACTGGTTTTATGGCCCTGAGTCACATGTTATTTGTGTGAGTGCATATGTAAATATATAAAATACAGTCTAAGATAATGGAATGCTTTATATTAACATATTGCCGTTTTCCAAATAAATGCTTGAAATGCTAATAGTTTTATTTAAAATTAAGACATGCTATCAGTAGTTTATTAAATCAAAACATGTACCTTTTAATGTCGAATCCCGAGAACAATTTATAGTGGTCCCTTGATTTATTTTCCCAGAGCTTTGCTGATCAAAGAGACACACATCCACTCATCATCAACACTATATAGCAGCTTTAAGTAAAAAGCCATAAAAAAGTGGACTTGCCTGTGCTGGCCTGCAGCGATGTGAGCTCGATCAATGCCACTTCATAGAACATCTTCTCCGCCTGAATGAACTGCAGAGCTTTCCCATCTGATTTTATACGGGTGAAGGATTAGACATGCTTGTCACCAGGAATAGTCTCTTGTTATGATCGCGCACACACACTGGACAGTTACTCAAGCTCAGTGAAATACTGATTTGTTCAGCTGCTGGACAGTAAGTAACATAAGAAAAACAGGCAAACATAAAACCTCTTTTCCATAGCCCTTGGCCTGTGGGGTATTTTGATTGGTTAGCGTTTATGTCAACTTCTGTTTTTAGCTCTATAGAAAGACACAAAGCTTGCGGACATTCTATAAATAGTCGCTAAAGAGTTTGTTCTGTGTTTTCAAAGGGATGCCATTACAATCGCTTCTGTGGGAAGATCATTTTCGCTCTTAACAAGTGCCATTACAAAAACTTGACTGAGAAGGAAGTTGTTCTTAAAATAGTCGATGACCTAGATAATGACAGGATTTGTTGTTTGTATGTGCTGTGACTTGCTGCTATTTTGGAATCATATATAGAGTACAACTGGAACTCTTGGTACATTTGAAAAGCTGTGATACAGCTGTTGTTTGAATTCAGATCATCAAATAAGTAACAGTATATAATATACAAACAAATAATATTTTACATTTCTGTTAAGTTTCTATTAATCAGAGAACCGTCATATATGTATCAACATTTCACATAAAAAAATATTGCCAAGCACAAAAGTTCAACAGATTTTCAACATGCATGCATAAACACCATACACTTTATTAGGGACATCTTACTAGTACCAGGTTGGACCCATGCCTTCAGAACTGTCTTAATCCTTTGTGGCATACTGTAGATTCTGAAGTACAGAAGCTTTTCCTCAGAGATTTTGAACCATATTGACATGAAAGGATCTTGCAGTTGCTGCAGATTTGTCGGCTGCACATCCATGATGCAAATCTTCCATTCCACCACTTCCCAAAGGTGCTCCATTGGATTAATTTCTGGTGACTGTGGAGGCCATTTGAGAACAGTGAACTCATTGTCATGTTCAAGAAACCAGTATGAGATGATTTGCGCGTTATGACATGGTGTGCTATCCTGCTAAAAGTAGCCATCAGAATATGGTCATAAAGTGATGGACATGATCAGCAACAATACTTAGGTAGGCTGTGGCATTGACACAATGCTCATTTGGTACTAATGGGCCCAAAGTGTGCCAAGAATATATCCCCCAAACGATTACACCACCACAGCAGGCTGAACTGTTAATACATGCAGGATGGATCCACGCTTTATTGTTGACGCCAAATTTTGACCCTACCATCCGAATGTTGCAGCAGAAATTGAGATTTATCAGACAAGGCAATGTATTTCAATCTTCTATTGTCCAATTTTTGGTCAGCCTTTGGTCAAGCCAGTGGCACCTGGTGTGGTCTTCTGCTGCTGTAGCCTATCCCCCTCAAGGTTGGATGTATTGTGCATTCAGAGAGGCTCCTTTGCATACCTCGGTTGTAACGAGTGGTTATTTAAGTTACTGTTGTCTTTTTATCATCTGGAATCAGTCTGGCCATTCTCCTCTGACCTCTTCAACAAGGCATTTGCGGCCTCGGAACTTCCGCTTACTGGATATTTTTTCTTTTTTAGACCATTCTCTTTAAACCCTAGAGATTGTCATGCATGAAAATCCCAGTAGATCAGCAGTTTCTGAAATACTTAGACCAACCCATCTGGCACTAATAACCATGCCATGTTCAAAATCACTTCCATGCCATGTTCAACCATCATTCTTCCCCATTTTAATGCCAGTATAAACTGCCTAAAGGCATTGAGCATGCCATGCGGATTAGAAATTTGCGTTAACGAGCAGTAGGACAGGTGTACCTAAAAACATGGCTGGTGAGAGCATGAATGAATGAACAGTAAGTCTGTGTTACTGTGTGATGTAAGTGATATGCCACCCACAGCAATTGTTACCTCAGTAGTATACACTATGAGTGTACTGCAGTCTGGTGTATTTTTGGGTGGTGTATTTTTATATTTGATATCTAGTTTTTAAATTCTGCACTGCTAAACCTTAAAAAGATTAACTTTCACAAAAGCAATTACATTTTCTTATTTTTGATTTTATTAAATCAAACAATCTCAACTCAATATTCAAAATTAAGAATGTCAATTGTAAAGGAAGGTAAAAAAAAAAAGCAGAGAATCATCAAACTATTTTTATTAGCAGAATTCACTCTGAATAACTGACTATTAATATCAGTTGAATATTTTGAAATAATAAATAAGCACTAGTAATAGTGGTTAAATACAATACATTGAATGATCTAGATTGTGTCTCATTGATGGCAATGTTATGTTAAGTCATAGTGACCCTTAAAATGATCTTTTCCCAGGATGAGCAGCATTTTCCCAAGTGTCCTGGGCATATTTTTAGATCTCAGCTGGCTGAGGAACATCTGAATTTGCTGACTAACAGCATGTGGATGAAAGTCTGAAAGTGATAAATGTATTGGTGATGCAGGTGATGCTAACGTCACTGAATTAGCTGCAGCCAAATGTATTCTCCATTGATTTTGTAATATTTTTTGCCGTTCGGTTAGCATCGCCTTCCTCTCCATATGACTAAAGGCCTGAGTTGCTTATGTGTATGTATACACACACACACACACACACACACACATAGACATACACATAGACATTTAGTATACATATATATACACATACACACACACACACACACACACACACACACACACACACTAAATGTCTATGTATGTGTGTGTATATATATATATATATATATATATATATATATATATATATATATATATGTATATGTATATATATATATATACACACACACACACACACACACACACACACACACACACACACATATATATATATGTGTGTGTGTATGTATATATATAAATAATGATTTTATTTAATTTTATATATCATTATATTAATTTTATAATGATAAAATTATATATATATACACACATATATATATATATATATATATATATATATATATATATATATATATATATATATATATATATATAAAATGTGTCTGTGTATGTTTGTTGATAATCATACTTGATCATCATTATTATAAAACTATCATTATAAATAAATTCCATGTTTAACCTTTATATAGTGTAAAAAGCAAATTTCAGTGATTTATTTAATTATTAAATTAATTAATTCATTTATTTAACTGTTCCAATTTCCCAGGATGAGTCAAGCTCTGATGTCTCTATAAACAATAGTGTTGTCAACTGTAGTTTATAATTGTCATTTATGCAGCTTCAGATTTCAGATATACAGGACAGCAGTTTTAAAGAGGAGCTTCTAAAAATAAGTTGTGCCTGCTTGCTTTTTGAATACAAAGTGCTTCTGAATTCCTTCTTGAGATGCATTGGCAAAGCAAATATATGCTTTAATAATCACCATACAAGCTTTGCTGCTTTAGGGGAAAAATGAATGCAGCGCTTTATCAAATAAATATATTAGCTGTGTGCTTCTGCTGGCATTTATATTTGCAGCCTTCTCAGCATGACTGTTAACACATTTTCCACATTTGTCGTTGAATATTGTAGTGTCAGTCACAGTAGGATACAAACACTGTATTTTCTCAACATTAACAATTGAGAAGGAGAAACGTAGATATTATTTAAATATATTTAATTACATGGTGATATATAAATCAATTTTTATTTTAATTATGTTTTTTTTAATTATTTTACTTTAAAAGAATTACATTATGGGCAGAAAATCAATTTGAGAATAATAAAAATGATTCATTACATTTATATTGATTACAGTATTTAAACACTCAAAGTGCTTTACAGAAATCAATAAATTTGACATACACTACAATGAGTGCTAGAGAAAATGTAAAAATGCTATATTTATTTAGGGTTTTTACATTTACCAAAAACATTGCTTTAGTGAGTTTTTTATTATTATTATTATTAATATTTTATTATTAAAATAAAATAAACATAAGTGTTAAAGAGACTCTTTAACTTGATAACTAAAACTTGACAAAGTCTGTGCAACTAAGGTAGATCAATATCTGTAAGGTGTGAATAATAATGACAAAGTAAACCTCAAACTTTTTAAACAAAACAATTATGCTAATCGAATCTGAGCTTTCAAGTAAAGGAACCAACCATCATTATTCAAATACATACTACACTAAAAATTGTGAAGTTGGATTACTGCATTACCGCCTATGCTAAAACCTCTTTCAGATAGGGTGCTAGTGGCTTGGATGCACAAGAAAAGAACAAAAGAAACCAAAAGCCACTCTGATGACATCCTTACATCATTTTTTTATTTACAATTTCCGCACTGCTGCAAGTCACCACACTCATTTTCACGTGTGGTTATTCTGACCTGAAGTGTCAAACGCGAGCACATGGAATCCTTGAACATTACTATGGGCTTTGCGCTCTCCCTCCCTTGGCGTCTCTCGTAACCAAGCGAAATTCAAGCGTTTTCTCAGAGGATGACAAGTTTATTAAATTAGTCTGCCGTTATTACTGTAATTCCATACAAAGTGTGAAGCATATTGGTGAGTTCTTACGCTCGCATGAATTATGGTGCGCACAGAATTCGGAAAACGGAGATTTTTTCAACAAGATGTGCCTGGAAAATGCGCACGAGTCATGTGTGCGTTGTTCCCATACGCGTGTCGTGCAAATAACACGCCTCCATTAAAAATGACAAACTAACACTCTAAGCTTTTGGCACTGGTTCAAAGGCGTGCGCTTAGCAGCCACATTTTAATAAAACTTCATACCGAATGTTCACACTGCATCATGGTGCTGGTCAATAAATATTGATACAGATTTTAATTGCCCAGCCCTAACTTTAACAGTTATTATTTAAAACAGTCAAAATATGGTCAACCATTAGCAGGCAGTTAAGCAGTTTTATTATTATTTTTTTTTTATTTTTTTTTTTGCTGACATGTTAATGTAACACCACTAATATAAAATTTTATGACAGTAAAAAACAGAAAATAGACTGATTTGGTCCCATGCCATGTAAATGAATGCTCTTTTTGTCATTAGTCCAAAATAAGATGCAAGATGGAGGAGTTGCAAACTAACATCCATGTATGGTCTTTCACTAAAGCTCACTATTCTGCCTTTCAATGAAAGTCAACACACAAGCACCAGTCCACATTGTACAGAAGATTCCAGAATAAATACATGCTTATCTTTAAATCCACACCAACACATCTAATTCCAAACCCCCTTGTTGTGCATGTATTGAAATAGCTTATTCAATTAAATGATAAACTCAATCAATGATTCCTCTTTTAAGTAATTACACCCAGATCACATTTCTCACCGAGACCCACACTTGGTGAAAAACCGTTGCACATGTAATTGGATTTTAATTGGAAAAGAGGTCATGAATGATCTCGGTTAATGACTTGGGTCACATAAACGGACTGTCTGAGCTGAAACTAGCAGCCTGGAAGCCGTTTAAACTCTATGCTTTAGTAATTGAGAGGCCGTAGGTTTAAGTGGGAATGTATGTCACATAACACTAGCCTTGCTGCTAATGGAAGCCTGTAGATGAATAAAGGTCATGCAGGTTAATTAGATGTGATGCTTTTTTTTAGTTGACATATGATAAGCAACCACAAATCCTAATGAGACAAAGAACGCTTGCACAAATGCTACTAGACTATAAAGTATGTTTTTTTTTCCACATGATAAAAGTAGGGTTGTGCCGAAAGACGATAGTATTATGTATCGACGACAGGCAAAGGTATCGCCGAGAGCTGAAACCTATGACGATTTTAAAGACGATATTTTACTTGTTTTGCATGAATGTAGACCTATTACATGTTTTATTTGCATTATTGAATAAAATTAATAGTATTACTATTTTTAATTATCATCATTAATAATAAATGAACTACAAATAATTTGACAGCTTCAGCTGTTCACATCAACATCACTTGACGGATAAAATGCATTACTTCGATTGCACTCTTGTGTGAGCGCTTTCTCTCTCTGTCTCTCTCTCTCTGTCTCAGCAGCAGCAGTTGAAGCGCGAGCTGCACTTGAGGGCACAGCCACATCGCATAGCAAATGAGTTAATTAACAAACAAGTTAAAAAAACTATTTTTAAAAATTAAACAACTGAAGAAGAAAGGGAAAGGACTCTGAAACCAGCTAAAATATTCTGGAATAAAACATGTTAAGGTCATTGGCCATTTGAGACTGCTTTATAACAGCACTCCGGCAAGATTCTCTCTTGCTTTCACAAAAAAAAAAAAGCTATTTATCTTTTATATTTGTTATTAACAGCCTATTTAAGTTTTAAGGTGGTCTAGCTTATAGCCTATTTTTCTCAGTGCATGCATTGATAGCTCCTTCAAATACACAGAATATAAATACTTGTTTATTTGTGTTAAATTCAATGTAATGATAAACACGGACATGCGCATTTAAAAAAAAAAATCTATTTATTTAATTTAAAAATATGTTAGGCCTATATTCATTTATATAGGCTATTAAAATATATTTTATTTATTTATTTAAACTAGCCTACATGAATTTAAATTACAACCTGTATTTTACCATTTGTTTTGGCATTAAATAATTATTGAACAGATAATTAATAACTTATCAAAGAACATTTTACTGAGTTCAGTGAAAATTTTTAGGTCAAATAGGCTATTTAATATCAGAGCAACCGCCGACTCGCCGCAGCCATGTCTAAAATGAAACTCTCATCAGAAAACAATAAACACATATGCCAAGCACAACATTGTGTTAGATCTTAGTAAATACAAAAGAGACACTGTTAATGATAACTTTTGTGATTGATTAGACCTGAAGCCGCACCGTGCTTACTAAACAAAACATTGAAAAACTTCAGCGCATAGAAACATCACGAGCGGGCGGCGAGTCCTCCATCCGCATCCCGTCTAAAAGGACAGAAATGCATCCTTGTTTCTATGCATAAATATCATTTCATTTGCTTTCATCCATGTGTATTATATCCATTTATCCACAAATACCCATATATCCACAAATACAGCAGGTTATAAAACAAGTTTAAAAAAAAACAGCTAAAAGGTTAATAAAAATGTTTAGATATGGTTAAATATACTAATTATATATATATATATATATATATATATATATATATATATATATATATATATATATATATATATATATATATATATATATATATATATATATATATATATATACACACACACACATACATAACACTGCCTCGCCCCCATGCGATAGTATCGTGTATCTGCGATCTCACAGGGGGGGCGATATGGTGATCTGAAAATTTCGTATATCGCCCAACACTAGATAAAAGAAATTGTTATTCTTCTATTCATTGTGTTCATTACACATTGTTGAGTGAGGTGATATTTTAGCAAAAAGGATACAGTTCTTCTCATCAATGTAAAGTTCAGCAATCTGTATAGAGAAAATAAGAAAAATTCAAACTTTAAAGGGAATATGTTTTTATAAGCACAGTTGTGGCAACAGTGTGTGAATATAGGCAGTCTCTAATGGTTAGAATTTAATTATAATTTTTATAATCACATTTCATAAAAATAGACTGCAGAAACATTTTGAATGACATTCTCCATTTGTAGATGCCATCAGAGGGAAAAAGCGCCACCCATAAGTGAGGATCTTTCCCTCATTAGCATAAACAGCCCAGAGTGAGAAACAGCAGTCCACCATTAGAGATTTTACACCTTATTGGTAAAGATAATGTCAGCGACTAAGAACTATTATTAACGTTGAGTTTAGGATGCAAAAATGAACACTGTAGTTTCCATAGATTACCATCTTCTGAGCCACTTCTTTTGACGTTTTCAGTTTTTTACAGGGATAGTCCTGTTTTTGATCTGCTGCTATGCTGACACGTAAGAGTTTATAGCTCTGCCTTCTTTTGAAAATATAATTTAAATTTGAATTTAAAGCTACAGCCATCAAAATGACACATTTTGGAATCAAAATCTAAAAAGGGCAGTTTCAAAGGGTTATAAACAAATCTTTGTAAGGCATTTTGAGCTGAAACTTTTTAAACACACTCTAAGAACACCAGAGACTTATTTTACATCTTGTAAAAAGGTGAATGATAGGTCCCCTTTAAATCAATTTATAGCCATTCAAAGTAAATACAGATTTTTTTAAATACATCCTATGATATGATAACTGCTTTTCAGATATTTTTCAAATAAGTGATGTTTAACAAAATGCGAATTTATGACAATTACATATGTATTATTTTCCAGAGATGGGTTGGGGCTGGACGGGTGATGGATTGGTTGGCGGTACATTCCACTGTGGAGACCCCGGATTAATGAAGGGACTAAGCCGACAAGAAAATGAATGAATCACAAATGTATTGTTTAAGTGTTTATGTACAGTTGAAGTCAGAATTATTAGCCCCCTTTTTACCTTTTTTTAATATTTCCCAAATGATATTTAACAGAAGAAGAAAATTTTCACAGTATTTGATCATGTTTTTTTTTCCTCTGGAGAAAGCCTTATTTGTTTTGTTTCAGGAAGAGTTTTTAACTTTTTAATTGCCATTTTAAGGTCAAAATTATTAGCCCTTTTAAGCGATAGATTTTTTTTTTCGATAGTCTACAGAACAAACCATTGTTGTTCCCTTGCCTAATTACCCTAACCTGCCTAGTTAACCTAATTAACCTAGTTAAGCTTTACATGTCACTTTAAGCTGTATAGAAGTGTCTTGAAAACTATCTAGTTAAATACTATTTACTGTCATCATGGCAAAGATAAAATAAATCAGTTATTAGAAAGAAGTTATAATAACAAATGGGTTAAATCCGTTAAACAGGAGTAATGGGGGGGGGGGGGACTTCTACTGTATGTGTCTGTTTAAGGGTCAAAGACAAAAAGAGGTTTTCTAACAGTTTAAGTAATAATGGATTACTAAAAAAAAAAAAAAAAAAAACATTTTAAACAAACCTCAAAAAATTATTTCCTCCATTTCAAACTCCTTGGTTTCATCCATTTGTAAGTATGATTTAAATCAGAATACAATCTTGTATGATGATCATGCATGTTTTTTCTTTTATTTTAATAAGAACATATCAGAATAAGTATGTTGTTTTAAAATTATTTTGAGAGGTCAAAATATGCATTATCAGAAAGGTTAGTTTTATTAAGTTATAGACTGAATGACCATGTTTTGTACGACTTTATTACATAATGCCAAAAAGGGAGAAATTAAAAAAAAACTTAATATTTTATTAAAAAATTGTTTTATTATTAGACTGCACAATTACAATAACTCTATTAATATTTCTGAGTAAATGGCATAAGAAGCAGTTGCTGAAAAATAAAAAGTATTTCTATCTGCTGTTCTATCTAGTTTGTCATTTTGCTTCTGGTGTACTAGAAATGACGGCCCACAGCTTTATTTATCAATACTTTCTGTTTAACAACATATGTTACATTATCAGGATGGTTAAATCGCCTCATTGAGCTCTCTTAAACTTTCCAGAAACAGTGGTATGTTATTAATCTAACAATTCCAATCCTCGTCACTTTTCTCATCTCTCTGCTAAGGCTTGAGTAAACTTCGCTTTATGCGTTTTGCTGTCTCACAAACAACTGTGTCTTTGACTTTCTTTTGGCTCTAAATTGTTGAGTCAATGAGAAACTATTCATCCAATTCTGTTTAACCCCTGGGACACTTTTCCACTGTTTTGATTTAATTTTTAAGCTGGTTGTTGTTCTGATTCACCTAAATGTTGGCACACAATATCTCCAAACAAACCGAAATAGCTGCCAACAGCCAATAAAATCACTGAAGTTAATAAATTGTGTAGTAAATGACTGAAGGTTAGGAAATGTAGCATATATGTTACATGTGGTTGTGGTAACCACAGTATATAAAGTCGACTTCAGTGCATTGACAAAAACTGCAGAATCAAAGTGAAACGATTTTATGATGCAAGGTCAGCAGTTGGTATATGATCACTCAGTTTTATCAGAATATCATAAACTTGTCCCTCAGAGAAAGCTATAATGACACTTAATTTAGTTCTCAGTTTGGCATCAGTGTAAAATGGCTGAAAAGCTTCACTTGTGCTGCATCCTATAGTTCAGAAGTTGTGTATCTTGTGTTCAAATGCTGATTGCATCACTGAATTTTGGTCTTCAAATGTGGCCTTCATTTCCCAGGTAACAGATCCTTTGCAGCCTAGACTATCTCAAGATTCATTGCGTGCCAGATGTTTTTGTATTGCAATACACTTTTAAATGCATCATTCCTTAGTTCATTCTGCTGTGTAACAAAATGAATGTTAGATTTTTATATCCCAAAATTGGGTCAGATATGGAAAAACCAATACTGGGTAAAAAATAAAAAAAATAAAAACTCAAATTTAAATTGAATTGGAAAAATTAACCCAACCTTGGGTTTGTCCATATTTGAGTCAATAGTCAATCGATATTTTTTTTCTACATTTTAGAACTTTTGTTTTGTTACATTAAACTTAACTGAGAAGTGACACTTATATCTAAATGTAATTCAATAATAATGATAATAAATGTATTTTAAAATTGTGTCATCACTGGTGTGCAATAAATTAAATTATTACATTATCTGCATTATCTTAGTAACATATGAGACGTACAGTAATAAAGTGAATAAAGTGAATATGTTTATTTTCTTTTCGGCTTAGTTCCTGTATTAATCTGGGGTCGCCACAGCGGAATGAACCTCCAATTTATCCAGCACATGTTTTATGCAGCGGATGCCATTCCAGCTTCAACCCATTACTGGGAAACATCCATACACACTGACTTTGAATATGTACAGATCATAAATCCCAGCAAGCACACAATATCATAGGACAATAATAATAGGTTAGATTTAGATCATGACATCAGGTGACCAAAATTCAATGTCTAGCCAGTGTCTGAGGAAAACGTTGTTTTGACGTCCAATAATGTCGTCAAATTACATTGATATTTGGTTGATTTTAGGTTGTGTTGGAAAGTGACCAAAATCCAACGTCTGATAGATGTCATAGTTGTAACGTCCACACAACATCAAGGTATAACATGATCAGATGTTGATATTTGGTTAAAATTAGGTTGGACGTTTATAATAGGTTCTAATGTCAACCAGATTTTCATTTCGAAACAAAATGACTTTGGGGTGCAACGTCAATATGACGTCATGTTGACGTCCTGTGCCTGCAGGAATAGACCAAGGTTTACCTATTTGGCAGTTGTAGAACCCTGTTCTACTTTCAGACAGTTTCGTTTTGTGGACTTTTGAAGAATGCAGCCACTGAATTTGGAATTTTGGATGCAGATATGGTCTTTTATACATGGACACTAAAAAATGCTGGGTTGAAGTAAGGCATCGACGTGTCAAAGGTTAAAAAAATAATTCAATTTAACTGAAAAGTTATCACAAAGGTTGGGTTTTCTTTGGGTTTTCGTATTTGTTTGCTTAGTCTTTTGTTAAAAGTGTAATTCAATTTCACCTTAAATGTGATCACAAATTTTCTGATGGAAATAGCCAAAAACATATTGTATAAGACAAAATCACCTATTTTATTTTCTGCCAAAATTAATTTAAATATTAAGATTGTGTTCCATGAGGCATAAAGTGATTTTCTTTCTGTAATTCTATCAAAACTTAATTAAAGATTAGCAATATGCTTTGCCTAAATAAAGATTAGTAATATGATTTGCCTAATTAAAGATTAGTAATATGCTTTGCTAAGAAATGAACTAACTTTTTCCAAATTTTTTAATAACAAATATTAAACAATAATCAAACAAATATTGTTATATTTTTACAAACCATATGTATAAATCAGATTTTTCAAAAACAGACCCTTATGACATGGCTGTGTGGTCCTGGATCATACATTATGAATGAAACAACAAATTTTGTCAGGTGTCATTAAAATAAACTGTTGCCCATGTCAAAATGAGTATGTACTGTAAAATATGTATATCTTAAAATTGTATACAATTTAAATTACAATTTCTCTAAATAAAGTATAGAATTACCTAGCTTTTGGGTTATTTTGTAATCACAATTTTTAACCCAGTTGTTGGGTTCATTTTTTACCTAAATTTGGCCTAAAAGCCTAAAACAATGGAGCATTTTAGTTAAATACACTGAAAAAAATGCTTTTCTTTCTTAGATTTTTTTTGTCTTGTTTCTAGTCCAAATATTTAAAAATTCTTAAATTAAGAAGAAATTTTTAGACAAGCAAAACACATTGTCTTGTTTTAAGAAATAATATGCCAAAATGAGGTGAGTTTTTCCTTAAAACAAGCAAAATAATCTGCCAATGGGATAAGCTAAATAACTGCATGTCAAAAGGAAAAACAAGATTATTTATCTTATTCCATTGACAGATTATTTTGCTTGTTTTGAGGAAAAACTCCCTTAATATTGTAATATTATTTTTCAAAACAAGACATTATGTTTTGCTTACCCAGAAAATACTTCTTTTTATAAGATTTTTTTTAGATATTTGGACTAAAAACAAGACAAAAAAGTAAGAAAAGTGTTTTTTGCTTTGCAGTCAATCGTTGGTTCTATCGCAGTCTCTTCACCCCACCTATCAGTCTGTATGGTTATCTATTTGCCTACAAGGTTAAAATGTATATATAATAATCATTTAAAACACAGTATTGTTAGCCTAAAATATGACAAGAACATGTTGATCATGAGTTTTTTTTTTTTTTTAAGTTAGTATAACTTTCATAATTTCAAACTGCCTCAGGCTGAAATGTTATAGTTACGCTAGCGATAAATATAAGCAAAATCTAAATATGTCTTTTTCGTGAGGTCAGAAGCAAGTCTATCTGGTCAGTGTCATACCACACATTCCGTTGCTCTTGTGTAAGAGCCACTGTTTATATTCTGGACATTACTTGAGACCCTTGTGAGCGAGTGTAACCCAGAGTGAGCAAAGCAGTCCTGACAGCTTTTATCTGACACTTAAACTACACTGACACTAAAATTACACACTTAAAAATAAAGGTAAAAAATCTGTCACTGGGGTGATACCATTTCAAAAAGGTATGCTTTTATACCATATAGGTGGACATTAGTACATTTAGGGTAGTGTTTCTTAACCACGTTCCTGTAACTACCCGCTTTGTACATTTTCCATGTCTCCTTATCCAAACACACCTACTTCAGATCATCAGCTCATTAGCAGAGACTGGAAAGAGACCTGTAATAGGTGTGACATACAAAAGATACAACCAAAACATGCAGTGCTGGTGGTCCTCCAGGAACGAGGTTGAGAAACACTGCTTTATGGTACATTTTTGAACCTTTTAAGTTACTATGAGGTGCACGTTTGTACTTTTTAGATATTGACAGGATCAAAAATGTACCTTTTGAAAATATACCACCTGAGTGATAGATTTGTACCTTTATTTCTGAGAGTGTACCGTGATATTTAATGTACTGTAAACACATGATGGAACCCGACTGGCCAAAGCTCGCAACACAATGATAAACTTGACTAAGAGCATCTTAAGCACGTCTCCTGCTGCGCACAAACACATGTGAACAAATGCTCTTTCTTTGCATATGCAAGTGTGTTTGCTGTGTCTGCATAGAGCATGAATGTTTCAGAATGCATTTGCTAGTGTAAAATATGCATCGCCTGTAGCCTAGTTTTAGGTTAGTATGCCACTGGTTCATTAAAAATATAACAAGCATGGCCGACATACAGTACAGTAAGTTTGGTTTGCAAACCGAAGCTTTATGTGTGAATTATCTGCACATGCATGCTATATGACAACAGATTTGCATGTAAATTGGCTCCTCTTCAATTTAAAGTATGTGTTCAACCTAGGGCTGGGCAATATGGCAAAAATACTCATATCACAATATACAGTTTAAGTCAGAATTATTTGCCCCCCTTCAAATTTTTTCAACAGTTGATGTTTAACATGAGCAAGAAATTTTTCACAGAATGTCTGATATTTTTTTTCTTCTGGAGAAAGTCTTATTTGTTTTATTTGGGCTAGAATAAAATTTTTTAATTTTTTTAGAACAACATTGAACATTATTAGCCCCTTTAAGATATATATATATATATATATATATATATATATATATATATATATATATATATATATATATATATATATATATATATATATGTTTTTTTTTTTTTAGATCATGAAACATATTGGTAAATAGAGCTGACTAAAAAAACTTATTTTTATTAAGTTTTATTAGATGGAATTTTTGTGATTAAATTTAAGTCAGATTGAACTTCTGACTTTAACTTTTAAGTCCTGTTAAAATATTATTTAGAATGTACAACACAAAATTTGAGTAAGGTAACTTTACGCAGACATCGGGGCAACTAATTCCTGTTTAAAATATTTAAGATGTACAACACAACATTTCAGTAAATGTTAAACGTTTAAAGAGATTTTAAGTCATTTTTAATCCATTACAGGTTCGACAAAAAATAAAAATAATAATCTAAATAAAATGCTAAATATGAAGACTATACTTAAGATGCAAATTGATCATGATGCTGTTATAAATTTGTGTCTGCATATGGTGTAATATTGTTTATATGTAAGTGGTAAAATAAGTATTATTGTAAGCATAGAGGTAAAGTTGGTTGTATGATCGCATATTTAGAAATTCTCCTTAATAATCTAATTTCAGAAAACTGTTTTTTGTAAGTTCTAAATGGTGAAATAACATTAGCAGCAAATGACCCCAACCTCTATATTGTAAACAGTGTACTTTGTAACACCATTAAATAAACGACAGAGAATACTACGAAATAGACTTTTGAATTTTGTCCATACGATATATACGATCATATTGCCCAGCCTTAGTTCTACCCCACAACGCATCATTAGAGCGCTCCATATCCTGCAGGGCTCACCTGATGCAGGCAGTTGGGAAGCGAGTGGAAGCTCTGCACATGTGTGAGTCCCAGCAGGCAGCTTAGAAAGCAGTGCAGTGCGGCTTGGGAGTCTCCGTCCTGCTGGAGCTGCCTGCCTAGTTCAAACAAACCCTCGCGGCTCCCGTTCAGCATCCCGTGCTCGGGATGGCCCACCAGAGAGACCCACCGCGTGCGTTCCCGTGCCAGTCAGAAGCTTCACTTACGTCTCCCATCTGAGCCGCGGCGCGCGCATGGAGAAACGGAGACGCTCGGAAAACGCAGTCGGACGCTGAAAGATGGGTCACTGTGCGCTTAAAACGGGAACACATCAATGCTGCTTCTGCTCTTCCTCGTCAAGGGCAGGAGGCGTGGGTGCGTGGGCTGGAGGTAGAGAGGGATTTGTGGGTGGAGGAGAGGAAAGGAGACGCACCGAGATCAGCGCCGCCCACGCGCATCGCAGAACGGGCGAGATTTGAGAGGATTTCGCGTTTGAGTGACACGGCTCGCAGCCAATGTTGTACAGCAGTATGGGTGATAGATTTTAAATGGAAATTGGATTATACACCTTACACTAGAGTTGAGTTAAAATTATTTTTGGTGATTTATTTATTCATTTATTTTTTTTTAAAGGAAAGAGAGATTTTTTAATGGGAATTGTGTAAAAAACAGCTTGCTCAGGTTGACAAAAAATTTACCATGTGTACAACGCATGTTACTGGATTATTGTATGGCAAGCCGTTTTAACAATTAATCCTTAATAACGAACTAGCAGATACTAATACTATTAGTACGAATAGTGCTTATTTGATAGATGCTAGTGCATAGCCTTTCTTTTCTTGTGCCTTACCTTTTCTATGTATTAGAATATTTTAAACAACTCAGGCTCACTAAAAACAAGTTTTTCGAGAAATGTAAAATACGTTGCTCTGGGTACATTTGTTGTACGTTTCAGATAACAAATTCATCAGATCATGGCTTTCCAAACAAGTCAAGTGGCCCCCAAACTAACAATTCCAGTAACTATCCAGTAACAAGACCCCCACTATCCTCAAACTTAGTATTAAACATACAAATGCTGCACACACACACTAATAGTCGTATATAAACACACACATATTGACAACACAAAAAAGTGCAACAGTCCAACAACAATAGAATTTGTTGTAGTCATTTATTAATTTATGGCTTAATGGTGGTGAAGTGGGTAGCATGTTCGCCTCACAGCAAGAAGGTCGCTGGTTCGAGTCTCGGCTGGGTCAGTTGACGTTTCTGTGTGTAGTTGGGATGTTCTCGACTTGTTTGGCATGGGTTTCCTCCGGGTGCTCCGGCTCCCCCACAAGTTCAAAAACATAGAGGTGAATTGGGTAGGCTATATTGTCTGTAGTGTGTTTGTATGAATGGGAGTGTTGCAGCTGGAAGGGCATCCGCTGGATAAAACATGCTGGATAAGTTGGTGGTTCATTCCGCTTTGGCGCCCTAGAATAATAAAGGGATTAAGCCGAAAAGAAAATGAATGAATGACTTTATTAGTTTATCTTAGCGCTGTCAAAATTAACGCGTTACCGTATGCGATTAATTTGAAATAATTAACGGGTTAAAAAAAATTAACGCAATTAACACATTTTTTTATTATTATTTTTTTTTCCTGTTGTGGCCAGGGGCAGACGCCAGGCAGTTTCCTGCTGTTTCGACGTACTTTTTGGGCCGGGCTGATCATCTTCTTATGATGTGATCGGCCCATAAAACACTCAGCAGACTGTCATGTTTTTCTGCCTCAGTGATTGACGGTGCTGTGTGAGCTGTCACGCTCTGAAAGTACGATGTTTCTTTTCCGGAGAGACCGGCTGTGTGACATAATCTGCAGCCCATTGGTTCTTTTCTTTATTGACATTGGGCTGACCCAATCACAACCTTCCATGTTGGGCTCTGTGTAACCTAGGTGTGTATTTGTCAAAATAGCCTGTCACGCCTGTTTCTCACGCGCGGGTCCGCCCCGCGGGAGAGCAGACTTTCGCGTCTACACTCTGGAGCGGGGCACAGATCAATATATTCCTGTCTATTCTTTCTAGTTACCTATCTGTCCATATAAACATACTTTTTTAACTTTTAATCTGCACCACGGCCTGCTTCCTCCTGCTGTTTCCTGAACCTGGAAGTCTTTATTTTACAAATTATAAAGAATGTCTGCTTCTCAATTTCTATGAGGAGTGTCAGTCATGTATTTAAAGATGTACTCGGTCAGAAGACAATCGCATGAGATATCATGACATTGTGTTTTTGATCGTCAGCATGATGTAGGCTTATAGTGACAATAATATTTATACAATATATGTTATAATATATGGAAATAATAATTCCTCTAATATATGGTTAATATAATGATATTTATACATGACCAAACTAGTGTGCAACTTAAGCAACTTTTTTACATTTATTTTTGTAGTTCTGCCCAAACAAATATTTGTTGCAGTTTTTAATTGTTTAAGTTCATTTGATTGACAATGTAAAATCTTTTAGCATCGTTTGATGTTTCATTGTTGAGTTAAAAACAACAATGGTCTCTGACACATTGCTTTCATTATTTATCTTTATTTTATTAATCAACATTAACTGTGTGCGTCAGCAGGCAGTTTTTGTTATGTTCATTATTTACATTTCCAGTGTGGATTATAATTATATTTTAATAATAAATTAAAAAAATTTAGTTTTTTTAATTTGTCAACTCTCGTTATTTCCTATATATGGCTTTTGTGCTTTTATAGAATGGGAGTTGGTAAACCTATTCAAGGGCGTGCACAGATTTTCAGTACTTTATTATTATTATTATAATTTTCCATATCTGCAATGTCTGTATTTTTGTTTCCTTTATTGGCATTGATTGTTTTGAAATTCAAATGGCATTAACATGCCTGTGTTTTAATTTCTGTAATAAATATGGCTGTCAGGCCAGGATCTTGATGGTTTATTGTGGGTATGTTGTTTACATGAAGAAATCTGTGTTACAAGTTAAACAAAAATTCTAATAATGAGTTATATTTTGAATTCAAACAGTATTTGTCTTGTGTTTACATTAATTTTACACTCGAATAGCCAAAATTACAAGTTTTAGTCTTTTAAATGTGATTAATTGCGATTAATCGTGATTATTTTTTTTTAAAAGTGCGATTAATTAGTTAATTTTTTTTAATCGATTGACAGCACTAGTTTATCTTAATATTACCCTCATCTAATGAGTCTGGTGGGCACAATGTTTACAGCACAAGTCTATTCTTGGTTTAATTTTAGAGAGCGTCGCTTGGAGATCATCATCCATGTTCAGTCATCGTCTTTATTTTCAATGTACATGAGTGCCGTTGTCAAAGTTTAATATGATGCTGTAAAAATCAACCTGCTGCAGCTGATACTATTGCTGTGTTGTTAATCTAATTTGATCACCCCAAGAGTCGTAATCCAACGGGTAAAAAAAAAAAAAAACTATTAAAGTCTGATGACTTTTTATTTGCATGTTGCTGTTTTTTAATGTAACTATTAAATACTATTTTTATTTTCTGTAGGGGAAGGATAAACAATGGTAATTCTAATAGGTTAATAAAATTAATTTGATTTTTGGAACCCCAGGGGGTCCCGATATGACTTTGGAAACCACTGCATTAGAGGGCGCTATACTAATTAGGGAACGTTTTCTTAAACATATCATTTAAACATTTGTACATGTGCATGACCTTTATAGTGCCCAATTTAACAGATACTATTTAATTAACATATATCTGAGCAGAATAAATATTAGGCCTTCTCTGTGTTAAAAAGGAATAAGCAGTAGTAACAAAAAATAAACATTAGTACTTAATGGAAACATTAACATACTGGTAGTATTACTAGGAATAAAATAAAAAAAAAATCCAAATTTGTTAATTTATAGCTTAATTATCAATTCGTTGATTTTTTATATTTATTAATATTTAATATTTTGAATTTTTATTTGTTTGAAAAATTAGAATAAGTGTAATACATATGAGTATATAGATTTAAATCTCAGAGGTGCGTTTTCGAAGACCATCGTTAGCCAACTAAGGTCGCAAGTTGTATCGTTAAAATCATAGTTAGCCAATTTGGCATTTCTAAATTCGTCTTTCCAATAAACATTCACAAACTGTGGCGCAAACTTGTATGCTTGCAACTACACCTCTGGAGCTGTAGTTAGAAACATAGTTCCTGGATGTGTTCTATTCCCAGTTTTCCACCTTATGCCCTATTCCTTTAGAACATTCTAACATTTAAACTTGAAGAGCCCGATCATATACCCGGCACAGTAAGGCGCAAGATGTGTTTCTATGATGTGTTGCTTTTTTCAGACCATAATTTTACAGCTTTCCGTTGTGTTGTAAAATGCAAATCCATTTGCGCCACTTTGTGGAGTCATGGGTGTTCTGGTCTGAAAAAGAGGTTTGTTAAGGCGCATTGTTGGCATTGCTATTGCTTTGAGGAACTGAAATAGACTGCTCAATAGACCAGCTGAAAGGAAGTCTAAAGTCCAGCACAGAACGCGTTAGTTAAGCGCGTGGCTTAAACATTGCTTAATACAGCAGGATGTAGAGCAATACAGAAATATCTTTACAAATGAAAATAATTAAAGGAATAAAATATTAAAAAATATATATATTATTTTATACATGAATATAAAAACCACTGCCTCCATGCCTTTTTCATCTTGGGAGGCTTTTACAGTTTATTCATGACAATTTGCTTTTGTACAATGTTATTATTATTAGTAGTATTATTTTGGAGTGTCAAAATTTATTGTTTCTTCTGTGCACCGCAATGCAGACACGGACAATTCGGTATCGGTTCAGTAATAATCATAACCGGTTATTATGTATTGCATCATTTATCTCATATGCGGGATGTTTCCGTAGCTTACTATGGCAAAGGGAAGCAAGCAAAAAGAAGCGAGTATTTACAATGCTCCAACTACCTAAAAACGTAGAAACTGTGCACAATTTCACTGTGTGTTTGCTGGACAGGTTTTCACTGACACAGCAGAAGCCCCTATTTCACTGCGGTTGAGAGAATGAAAGTAACGTTAAACTTAATTTTCTCTCTCTCTCTCTCTCTCTCTCTCTCTCTCTCTCTCTCTCTCTCTCTCTTTCTCTCTCTCTCTCTCTCTCACTCACTGTGGCCCATTTGACCTGCTGGTACGACTTTTCCTCTCCTCTCGGCTGTTACAGCGATACTTCTGGATACAGACACGAGCGCATGTCTGCAGAGTTTTCCAACTCACTGCAGAGCCACTTGGGCAGAGCTGAGCTCCAGCAAGAAGGAACTTGAGCTCCAGCTCCCCCTTTCTTGCAGTTATTCTACAAGTGATTTCACTGGGGCTTAGGGTTTGGGGTGGGGTGGGTGTATGCATTAAAACAGCTTATAGGAGGAGGAGTTGTAGCTTCTACATCACTA